AAAAAAGAAAACGATACCCGGTCTCCGAAGAGACCCATCCGATGGTCTGGATGCTTCGCCGAAAAGATCTGGCCGTTCGCCGTTGGCGGCTCTACTCCATCATTGAAAAATATGTCAATAAAACAACAAATGTGTGCACCCTAGCACGGTCAATGACAGAAGAAGGAATAGCGAAGAGTCAACACCGATCTAACGGCAATTTCATATCGATAACGGCCAGTCTTTTTGGATGGGATCAATACTGATAAACAATTTGATTTTAATTATATTTCTCTTTTATCGCCTTATCTAGCGGTCAGAGGCAAAATAATGAGTGGTTGACACCGCTGTGTCAGAAAAAGGTTCTTTCGCGCGATAAAATAAATAAGTAGACATAACAAAAAATCATAAACGGTCCACCTTCGAATTTGTGACGTTACAGAGACTACTATAAATATTTTCAAGGAGAATTTTTACAACATTTAATGTCAATCAATTTGAATGTTTAATAAATTATAGTTTTTCGTGTTTAAAATTTTAATGTAATTTTTTTTAACGCGTATCCAATTAGTTGTCTACGCAGGATATTTATAAAACAAACAAATGCAAAAGAAAAACTAATGTAAGGCCGCACAGGTAATTTACAAGAACATACTAATGGCACAAGTGATAAAATAAAGGTAGTATACAGGGTGGCCCACCACTCACTGACAACTTAAATAACTTTTGATCCAGTTAATATTTTTAGTTGATTTTTTTTTTAAATAATAGTTATACGTTAGGTCTATAGCTATATCTCAATAATTAATTTTTTTACATTTTATTAAAAATATTAATTATTTTTAAATTTTAAATAAAATGTAAAAAAAAAATCTAAGATAGCTATTTTGTAGAGTAGAATTTAAGAAAAATTTTAGTAAAAAAATATCTTATTAATATTCAGTAGTAAATATTCTGTAGCGTTTTGAAGTTTGTAAAAATTTGAATTTTCATGTACTATTTTACGGTATTAAACATTGAAATACGTATTGAGAAAAGGACAGAAGAAAACGCTATCTTTTCATGATTACTGTGTATACATATGATGATAATATGTATACATTACAAACTTGGAATTAATACCATGATAAGAAATTAGATAAGGCAATTATTACTTATCGCTCTCATTCAAAAGTATATTGAAAAGATAGCGTTTTCTTTGACATTTGTCAAATACATACAATTATAACTTTATTTGACCTTTTAAGATTTATATCATGAAAGTTATTATCCAACATTGAGTTTACTAGAACAAGACCAATTTTAGACACTTTTAATCCAACTAAAGCTTATTATGAAATTATTCCAGGATCACAGACAAAAATCAAAAGAAATTGGTTATCCTTTAGTCATGAACATAACTCTTTATTTTGTTCAATATGTTTAGTATACTGCTCTAAATCATCAGCTTTTACTAGCGATAGTGGATTTAGCAGATGGATTCATGTTTATGAGAGTATTAAAGATCACGAAGAGTCAAAAAACCGTAGAGAAGCGTCAAAATGTTTCATGGCTGATCAATGTGGTAAAACTGTTGATGAATTAATAGAAAGAGTGCAGTGGGTTCAGAGGGAAAATGAAGTGATGAAGAGAAGAAGAGTAGCTCAAATAATTATTGATATTGTTAAAGTAATTGGAAAACAAGGATTACCTTTCAGAGGATTCAGATATGAGTCTGCTTACGATTTAAAAAATATATCAGTAAATCATGGGAAATTTTTGGAAATAGTATTATTGATAGCAAAGTCGAATGTAGAATTAAGTGATCATATTACTAAGGCAATAGTTGAAAGTGAAAAGAAGTTGAAAAGAGGTAAATCTGGTAGAGGAAATTTGTTTACTTTTTTAAGTCACAAGACTGTAACAAATGTAATTCAAACTATTGGCAAATTATTGTTGTCTAAGATATCTAAAGAAGTTAATGTGGCTAACAACTATTCCATTACAATGGATACAACTATGGATGTTTCAACTCATGATCAATGTGTAATTGTTTTGCGATATTTGAAAGAGAATGTCGAAAATGAAAAATCTTCAGTAGAAATTAAGGAAAGAGTTATAGCTTTGAAAANTAGGAAAGAGTTATAGCTTTAAAAAAAGTAATTTCTTCCTATTCTCTCCTTTTATTTTATATATTTATTCCTTTTATTTATTAGGCTTATTTGATTTGTTAAAATCAACTTTAATTTCTAAAAATATTAGATTAGATAAATGTATTGCAGACGCCTTTGATGGAGCCGCTAATATGAATGGAGAGTACAATGGAGTCCAGGCAAAACTTAAAGAACTGCTTCCAAGGCACATTCATACATGGTGCTATGCTCANTCTTCCAAGGCACGTTCATACATGGTGCTATGCTCACATATTGAATCTTGTACTGCAACAAACTACTTCGAGTATGGTTGTAGTAATCTCTTTTTTCGGTCTTCTGCAAGAATTATTTGTTTTTTTTAAAGAATCTTATAAAAGGCTCAATGTTTATGAATGTCAAAGTAATTCTGGCCGTCAATCACATTTGATAAATATAGGTGTAACTAGATGGAGGTCTAAAAATGATGCCCTCATAAAAATATTTGGTCGTATTAGTATGTGGACAAATGAAGGCGAAAATGAAGAAAGAAAAAAACTGACTTATGTGTCAATTGTTTTAGCACTTTATGAAATATCTTTTTCTAATAGTTTTGCTGGTGTAAGAAGTACAGCACGAAGTTTACTAAATCGAATCACGAGTTATGAAACAACATTAACAGCTATGATGTTTCTACAAATATTTAAGTTCACTACTGCTCTGTCTGATTATTAACAAACATCTAGTCTTGATTATATACAGGCCTGGCGAAAAATTGAAGTAGCTATAAAGTTATTAAAAGAAAATCAAAGAGAATTTTCATCGATAAGTGCAGCTGTAAAAGAATTTTCAATATTTACATCCGAAGTTATATGGAAACATGAAACAGAAATTGATATTGAGTTAGAATTACCTCAAAAAAGAAGAATAAACATTCCACGACGTTTTGAAGATAACCCCAACATTAACCCGGAAATTGGAGCTTCTCCAGAAAAAATTTATGAAATAAAAACTTTTAGTGTCGTTATGGATACTACTATTGCTNGTTTTAGTGTCGTTATGGATACTACTATTACTTGTTTAGAGAATAGATTTTCGGGTAGTAATGAGTTGTATGGTGATTTTGAACTATTTGACCCAAGGCGATTTATAAATATCAGACAAAATGGAATACATTCAAATGGCTTAAACAAGATTTGTGAACTATTACCACATATTGATAAGCATGCATTAAAAGAACAATTACTGTCATTTGCCGAATTCTGGCCTAAAATTTCAAAAACAAATATCAATGACGTAGACGATACATATAATCAAACAGTAAAAGATGAATCGGACTTTGAAGATTACATGCAAAATGAAAACATTGAAGAAAAATGTACAAATATAAGAAAATGTAACTCGTGTTTATTGTGCGTGACGAACATAATTTATGAGTTTAATATATATTCTTTGGAATATAAAGAACTCTTCGACGTATACACATTTTTGTTGACTATTCCTTTAACTCAAACAACCTGTGAGAGATCATTCTCCAAACTGAAATTGATTAAGACGCGATTGAGAAGCACATTAACTCAACCAAATTTAGAGTCAATATTCATCATGAATTGCGAACGTGAATTAGTAGATGAAATAACTAATGACGAAATAATAGATTCCATGTGTGAGAAAAGTTTAGAAATGTTTAGATTATTAAAAATTTAACTGAATATATTTGTTAATTTTGTAGTTTTACATTCAGATTCACATTTTCAAAAACTACATATTATTTTACAATACGTTGCTGAATATTTTGTAAACTTAACTTCTGTATTAGTTTAAAGTATTTAAAATAATTTCACTACTGTTCAATTTAACTAATTTATTAAGATTAAATCAGCTATTAAGTTAAAAGTTTGTTTATAGCATTTATAGCGCAAAGGGAGACATTAATACGTATAACTTAAAAAATATAAATTATTTTAAATTAAAATTTATAGTAAAGGTTTTAAACAAAAATAAAGAATTTCATTAATACTGATGCTAAACTATTTAATCAAAATATTGCCTAAAAAATACACTACTTAAGTCACCATTTTTGGCCTAAATTTTATTAAAGACCTTTTTTTTTTTTGCTCAACCAGAACAAAAAAGCGGGTGGGCTCCCAGGAGCTTTGCCGCGGTCGTGGAAAGTGCCTATGGGCCCCTTTAACTTGGTTTCCCGATAAGAAAATTGATCCCAGTCCGCGCCTGGATGTCGTAACTTCCAATTATTTAATATAACATGTTTCAAATTTAAAGAGAGAGCTCATCTCAAGGTATCGCCCTGGGTGGGACCCATACACCAGCCCTGATCCTAACCAAGCGTTTCAAGGAAAATAATATACTTGTTATTAAATATTAGTCTTCACTAAATAAATCGTAATTATTTAGGAAAAGTAATATTATTTATTAATGAACATCATTTTTCTTAAATAATGAAGCAATATTTTCGAGATATTCAACCAAATAACCATTTGCATCACAATAATACTCTAATACACAAGGTATTTTTCATTTTTTTAAGCCTCAACAAATAAATACACTTATCATGAATTCGTCTTTATTTTAAAAATACTATTAGGTAACAAATTAAATAAATAAATTTATATCACAACTTAACAATTTATCATTAAAAATTAATTTAACAATAACATGTAGATATCATAGTAACAATGAAGTTTAATTTAAAATAATTTAAATTGATAACTAAATAAATAACTATGTAAAATCGTATAGCTTACTTTAAACTAAAATGTATAATCTATTTTAAACAATTTTTTTGTTAAAATCATAAGACTTCGAATTAATAATAAGACAACATAATTATTTTCTATTAGGTCGACATTATGTAATATATTTTGTTTGATTTCAATTTATATTAAAAAAAATATATAAATAAATAAATATTGAAAATATCACTTAGTTCAAAAACTATTGAAATATCATAAAATTAATATATAACAATATTTATAAACGGAAAATCAGGGATACAATCACATAAATTAATTTTGTTTTTTTTTTTTACAAAACTGTACTAGAAGTGAACTAATAGAAAGTATTAACATTTCATAATGAAAAAAATCTTATTTTTCAAATTTAAGACATACATAGTTGAAACTATACAACTCTAGAAATTTTTTTTTTTTTGATTTCCATAATACTATTACATTTTTTGTATAATTTTAAAATTATACTTATCTAAACTATATACTCTCATTTAAAATTTACTATTGTATAATATTTTTATTATAATTAATGAACTATCTATTTTTTTTCATTCCATTGTAAGTTAATACCATTAAAATTAAAATATATGTTATATTATTCGGTATATTTTTTTTTTTTTACAAAATTTATTGTTAAATTGATATATTATTATGTATAAGTGTAGCCTTGTTTACAAAGTATCAATTACCATATACAATTTAATTGTATATTACTTTCTTGAGGTAATATACAGTTAATATATTATTTAATAATTAACATCATTTTTCTTCAATTTATATTAAAAAAATATATAAATAAATAAATATTGAAAATATCACTTAATTTAAAAACTATTGAAATATCATAAAATTAATATATAAAAATTAAATAGTACTTTATGAATCTATACTATTTTTATAAAAATAAATTTCAAAAAACATAATCCTGTCTAAGGTCCACGTGGTTTCACTGGATAACATTTCTTCATTATGTGATTTAAGATTTTCGGACATACTTTGATACCAGTTCAGCAAACTTGATGTTCGAGTAAGTATCTGCAAATGATCGTCGAATTGGAGTATTTTTTAAATTTAATTTTAAATATTAAAATTCGTTGATAAGTACAGATATAAATGTATGGATTGAAGTTTTTAATTTTTAATATTCTGATATTGTATGTTCCATTATAGAAAAAATATTACACAAACTTCGATTTAGTTATATACTAATAGCAGTTTTTATGAAACTTATTCAGTGGTGCAGACAGCGGCGTATTTATGTAAAGGCAATACAGGCCACTGCCTACAATGGCATATTTTAAGGGACGGCAAATATTGAATGCCAACAAATTTATAAAAAGCGAGTTTTTTTTTTTTATAGTTGTTATGACAAATTGACTTCCTAATAATTATCAAAATCGTTTTCATTTATTGTGTATTTAAGATATGTATATTAGTCACTACAAGCAATTCATCTTATGATTTAATAATAAACATAGATTTTATTGTAAATATTTTTAAATACTTTTTTCTTTTTTGTAGGAAGAATTAGTAGTGTTATAGCAAAAATATATAAAAATGAGCCCCCTCCGTCATAACGTAATGAAGGGCGGCATATGTTTAAATGCCTATAGACGAAAAATATGTGAATAAACTCCTGGGTACAGTGGATGGCATACAACGGCATATAGTTTTCGATTTTTTTTTTCAAAAGTTGGTATAATATTCTAGTCATCGTCATAGACAGGATAAACTGATACAATATTAAATTTTCACAAAACCAGATATTTTATTATTTCAATATTTTCACTAATATATGTACCTTTATAAAACTGTATTATAAAATATACCATGTATTGTAAATAATCAGAGATGTGACCATAATGAAAATTTAGGGCAGTCTGGTTATTATAATTGGCTATACAAAGAAAAAATTTCTGGTGAGAAAAAAAAAGTTATCAAAAAAACGTGTTGAGAAGGCCGAAATCCATGATCATCCAGATTTTATAATTCGAAACTGAGATATATTTGCGTATCCGTCTCTAGGTTCGTTTTTATTTGGTCATTAATTGAAAATAAACATTTTACGAGTACCGTGCCTAAAGTTGGCTCTGAAAATAGGGTAAGCCAGGGCCTGTCTTACCTAATCACTGGGCACGCCTCTGTAAATAATGTAATTTTTTTATAAAAAAAACTAATGAAATATAATTTTAATGGATTTTTAAATACCTCGTTTTTCATCATAAAAGACTTGACTTTACCCATGAAACCATTGGACTGTAGTATATTTCCTTTTTCACTTTGTTTAGATATAATATTGCTGTCATTGTAATGACTAAATAATTGTACGCTCATATTGACAGGTGAATACTCCAACAAGGTTTGATCAACAATACCTAGTACATCTGATTCAACTGAACTAAAAAACTCGGACAGTGATACACACTGAGTTCTTGATAATATTCTATAGCCTTTTATGCGANAATAATATTCTACAGCCTTTTATGCGATTTCCAGAAGGGCCATCTATAATCACTACCCAATCACTGATGTACTTAGAAGCCGCATTTTTATGCACGACTGTGTTTATGTGCTCGCTGTAATTATCCCGAATAATATAAACTCCACAAGGACGACATCGCACCAAACGCATTTTAGAAACTTCTAAAAAATAATCGTCTTTTCACAATATTTTAAAAATTAATTCAGGAAATTTTTTTATCAAATTAAAATAAATTTTACATTCCTTTAATCGCTCGAATATATAAAAATAAAATACCATATAACATTCATACATACACTCATTAAGTAGAAACTGACCAATAATTCTTTATTGCTTTATTAACACTTATTACAAATATAGTAAGAAAGAATTTGAATATCACATCAGAAAACAAATTGTTTATCTTTCAGTTATTAAGTAATAATGTCATCTCATGTTACCATTTGAATATAAAAACATAAAACGTTCTTAGTAGAAACATTATTAAACAAAATTTCAATAAGTTTTTTAAAAAAATATTACAAATATACGCTATACTTAACATACGTATGTTAACATGTATGTTATATAAGCAAAATAAAAATACTTTCCAACAAATAATTTTATGAAAAATAAAGTTTTACCTGGAATTGATTGACTGAAATTTTTATTGTAGCTAACAGGACAATTGATAATTGTAGATGGTTTGTTTTCGATTAAAGATTTGGTTACTACAATTTCTAACCAAATTATTTCTTCTAAAGACCAACCTGATATTTGAAATGTTTCACATTGAAACATTAAAGAATTAGCTATTTTCCGATAAAACCATTCTACATCAATTTCTTTTGTTAATACCTGTACACAAGACAAGTTAAAAAAACTTATATTAATTATTATGATTATACTACAATGAAATTATAATTAAAAGGAAATATTCAGGAACACCCAGAGGAGACAGGAGAGCATTTCCTGAGATATCTTGTGTCATTAACAATAAAACTAACACAAAACATATAATCCTAGCTACCAAATCTTTTGATTTGATTTTAATTTTTTGTCCATGTAAATTAGTTTCCTGTTACCAACAGAATTTTAAAAACCAAAAGTGTTATTCGGGAGAGACAGATAGGCTTTGTACGGCCAATGGATAAGGAAATAAAATGTATAGTCTGTTTATTTCAAATAGTTAATAACATTAATAGTAAAGTTATTGATGTTGAATTAAATATTTATTATTGTTTAAACTAGAACACTCGTCATGATACAATGCATACATATTTATATCAGCTTCGACATAAGAGTGTTTTTTTATCACATAGTTTACTAATACAGTAAAATCTTCTTTAATAAAACTAAAAAAATCTACAATGGTTGAACAAAATGGAGGCGAAAACACACAATAATTATTGAAGTCAATTCTTTCTTTAAAAAAGTCAACTACAGCAATTTTGTGCTCGGTTGTTTCTACGTGATCTTCATATTTTTTTAAGTCCACTAAAATCCCACATTCAATACAGAATGTTTTTGTTT